CAAGGATTTTTTGAATATTAGAGTACGGAGTATATTAGTGTTACAAATAAATGCTCTTCTAATATCTGTTGCATTTTTGAGATATTCAAAATCATGCAACAGTATACAGTACACAACAGTATTTTGAACAGATAAAATAAAAACAGCTTGAACCCAGTCTACACATAAACTTTCAAGTGACAAAGCATGTTGCGTAGAACAGATGTTTGTTGGTTTGAAGGAAATGAACATACACTTCATACAGTATTTCAAATTTCTATCTTTAAGAACAACTTTCTGGAGCGACAGGTTGCAAAGGTGGTAAAATAATTTTAAAATGCTTGAAACTCGACCAAACATGAGGAAAAAAAAAGTGTTCTGAAGATTATACAGTTATTGTTATTAACATTATTGTTTTCTATAACTCCTTCCCCCAAAACATGTGTAGAACGAGTGCAGGGTGTCATACAAAATCAACAAAAATGTTCTCTTTTCACCACCTACCAAGTCAAAATGATGATTTCAAAATTGCAACCCACATCAGACTGAAGAATAGGCATGCATAAATTCTTCCCTCTAACTCAACATTGAGAAAGTGAAAGCCACACACTGGTCCCCACTAAAATTTCTTTTTTCTCGGATGCGGGGATGTTATCAAAAATCGCCTCACAATTTTCAAAACGTAGCTTCAGCACAGCAAATATTACATTAAAAATTTCCTTGGAGTATTGATGAACAGTATCATCATGCGAACACACACACAGGGTATACATAGATATGCACAATTTTCGATCATTTTTATTGCGGTGTAACAGTAGTACTGAGAGGGATCCATTTAACAACAAATCCACCTAACGAACATCATCTGGCAAATTACGCTCGTTCAGCGGGGCTATAGTACGGCACAGTACTGCAGTTAAAACGACTATAATTCGTTTACAAGTTTATAACTGAAATCATAACAAGATAATCACTGATGCACGATTAGAGCCTTGGCTCAACACCATTCAAATACAGCAAAACAATTAAACGACAGGGAAAGAATCACCATCATCACCCACCGAGACGCATCACGCACACAAGCCACCTTTTCCACCATACCCGACCCTCTCAAGTCCGCAACGCCGTAGATTGAAGCTCTGAATCACCATGAAAGAACATAATCAAAGGGGGGGGGGGAATGGCGCAGGATCTTGTGCATGGAACACCCCCGGAATGACTCTTCTATACTGTACTGCGACGAACAAGCCCATACATGTCGCTAGTGTCATGGTTGAGCAGCCACGTTGCACGCACGCGGACGCAACCTGGGATGCCAACGAAGCAAAGCGAGCCCCCCTCTGTTTTTGCCACTACTGAGGATTCAGAGAGAGCTCACACAGGTTGCCAATGAGGCAGAGGGAAGGGAAAGAAATGAATAAATTCACAGGGGATCGTTTCGTCACGAGGTTTCAGAATGACGCGAAAAAAAATACTTGCTCCATCACGCTTTCCCCATCGGGCCTGTGTGATAGACTCAAGTGATTATGATGGAGGAACAGGGCGTGGATCTAGTATAGGGAATCACCTACCCCTCATATCCTTGGGTCTATATGTATGTGTCCGCGTAAATTGTTAAACAATCGGGGATAGAATCTACATTACACCGAAGTCATACTTACAATTGGTTCTATTTTCCGGGGTACATGCAACATAACCAGCACAATCTTACTTCAATCTTACTTCAATCACAACTTGTCACATATTTTTCCTGGATCATTAATTCTAGCATAGGGAATCTTAACCTCATTTCCTTAGGTCTATCTGTGTGTGTCTGCTTATATACATTCTGGAGTGGAAGCTTCATCACATCAAAGGCTTGTTTAAAATTTCAATCTCAATTTATGTAAAATTAATCTATCATAGGGGATCTACCCCTTATTTTCTTGGGTCTATCTGTGCGTCTGCTTGAAAACATTCTAGAGTAGAATCTCCATTACACCGAAGTGTACTGTATATACAGTAATTGATTCAATTTTTCAAAGTCCATGCAATATAACCACAATCTTGTTTTAATTCTGAATTTGCACATTTTTTAATTATAACTACAGTATAATCTATGGAAAAGGAAATTTACCACTCATTTCCTTGGGCCTATCTGTGGGTTTGCTTGTAAAATATCTAGAGACAAATTTACAATTGATTCTCTTCTCAAAGGTCCCGCAATTAGTCCACACCTTTTTTATCTCAATTTTTTTAAATATTTTGATTGCAACAGCTTTCCATGTCGATTATCATGGCATCTATTCTATGATAGCAATAATAGTTAACAGATATGAAAATATCTTCAAAGTAATCTTTCAGCATATTCGGAAAGTTGTTACTTCATAAACATGTCATAACATGGCACCTGTTGGTGAGGAAAACCTATCAAGAAAGAGGGTTCGCAAGCATGGCAATGATTGTTACGCCATGTTGGGGACAACCTCAGGAAAATATTAGGCATCAAAATATTAAAGAAACCAGAAAATCGCAGTATTTCCACGCTCCTTTATTTTTTCTTGGATACCGTATCAGTTTTTAAATACTATGGACACTGAGTCAACACATAACTTGAGAGTTTATAAGCGGCATGTGGTCATGCATCGGTCTGCATTGAGGTACGGGAGGTGCCATACTAAAGCAGTACCACGAATGGAACAGTTCACATCATGATGCCTCTGGGATAAAATACAGCAGCAGGGTTCAATACGCAGCAGACGCTTGCTTCAAGTACCGATTTGAATTAGCATCATATTTCGGATTGTCTACAAGTCAAGACGTTTCTTTCTCCTCAACTTATTGATATCGACTCAAAGAGCTGAACTTATTACCACGACATGCAAATACAGTAAAATGCTGAGAATCACATCCTACCCAACGAAATTTCAGAAATAAAGTTTCCATTTGACGGACAGGTTAGGAGAACCCATTCAGCACACACCTCGAAGAAATCTTAGAAACATTAAAACATACAAGAAAAGAATACTCATCCTGTATTCGGAGGTTATCAAGACGAGAGAATCGCTCTGGAAAGTCAGGCAGGTGTCGCCTGAATCATCACCAACATGGCGTGTACATAAAAACTTTCACAATAATGCACAGTTTAAGCAATTTTAATTTTATGCTACCTAAAAACCTGAACGACAGACGCTAGATCTAAATAATGGTCGCAAATGTTTGAACCCTAGCTCATTTTTCTCAGAAATACGAATCAATAATCCTCCAATAGTTCATACATTAGCTGTAGTATAATAATAAGCTAACTCACACAGTACACAGCTTTTCGACGTTATTGCAATAATTTTCATGAAAGGGATAAAAAATTCGGCTAGGTTATGCTCACAGGGTGTTGGCAGGGGATATCTACCACCGAGTGTCTCAATTCTGCCCTTAGTATTATAGTCAACCTTGAAAAAACATTCTCTTGTACGCAAACGTACAATATGATGCAGATTTTTGTTTCATTACTCATAGAACTAGCGTGGGAATCCCACAAGCACTCCATTTTGTTGATGTAGTTGCTTGAATGGATTAGACAAGTATTCAACTCCTGTACCAGAGTTAGCAATAAGTTATATTGTTACGGTTAGTTGCATGTGTTCCATAGCTGTGGTTGTAGTGAAAGGACCACAGTGGATGGTTCACCAGCATTCATGCTGGATAGTCATCAGCCATTAACTCCGGCATGTTATGATACGAGTTGAGTTACAGCTCCCGATGCAATGGAGGAAGCTCACAAACACTAGCAGGAACACACTTGAATGTTCAGGTATGATCATTGATACTTTTACAGCACAATAGTCACATTCAGGAAAATAGAAGACCCGGGGACTAATTTCACAGAATAATCGAACTGTGACACATCCCTTATTCACATGCCTGACACCACCGGACTTGGGAAAGCATCTATCAATCATTTTACACACAGCATCTCGAGATATGACGGCGATTAAGCTACATCTCACGCACGCTCTGCCTCCAACAGGAAGCTCGCAACTGAGTGGTCGAGTTCGAGAGCAGGAACAAGGGAAAGCCATACCCCTAGCAACAGCACGCACGACAAACGTATCCTGGAAGGGAGTGCTCCTTTTCGCGCTTACAGCATTGAGCCGCAGTCCCCTGCTCTGCAAGCCAGCTGATCAAACACGGTTGCCAGATAATTCCACCGTACGTCACGTGGCTATCAACCTTCGAACGTAGGCCTGAAAAGACAATACAGTAATTTTGTAACAAATGCGTAGATTTTCAATAAAACCTGTTTTCATGTACCAGTAAATGCATGTGCAGCACATGAAAAATTTTATGATTCAGCAGAACATGAGGCTCCATTTATGTTGATGTATTGCCATTTCCTCATTGCACATCGATTCAGGACAGCGAAGTAATTAAATGAATGTTTAAGCAGGACCAAATATTGCAAATATTAGAGCCGAGAACCCTCTCCAACCATGTAGAAACATTGAAATTCAAAAGATAGCATTATTTAATTCAAACCCAAAAAATTCGCATGTGGCTAGAACAACCTGGCAACCATGGAGCGAACTCCATCATTATTTTGCTGCCTCTCTCGCGCTCCCCGCGGCGGATTCGCAACCTAATTCCCCCTCCCTCCAGTTAACAGCAGCGACCTTATGATCAACAGCTGAGCGTTGCAGCTGTCTGCGTTTTCCCCTCCGTTACCTACTTTCGTCATTCGTTCGAATTCATGCGACATCTAGGCTCGTGCTGCCTTTAGATCGTCGTCGGGTCAATTAGGGCTGGAGCGCCGCGGATGGCGCCACGTGTCATTGTGCGAGTTTGTTCACTATACCCACCTAATTGAATGACGTGATTTTCACATTGCTCTCCTCATTTCAAATTTTCCGAAGCAGCTGCCGGGAATTGTGATCCATGTGCTGATTCTCGCAAGCTACGTGTCGTTGGAGCAAGTTGCCCTTGCGATTTGATTTCGGTGTGCTTGTTGGTCAGTGTTTTATACTACAGTATTAATATCCATCGTATTGTTTGCACGTATATTTGAAAGGTGTCCGAATTTCGAAATGGGTATTTAATTACAGTACAGGACTTTTCAAATTTTGGAAGAATGGAACGTCAGCGGGGAAAGCGCGCGTCGTGTCTGAAAGTGTACACGCGAATAGACGATGAAGTGACTCAGACTAGAAGCAGTTCCAATCCTTCTTCACAAGAACGTATGTCGGATGTGAATACAGACTTCACCTCGACCACCACCATGCGACGTTCCATGAAGCGAGTCAGCTTTGCAAGGCAACTACAGCAAGTGCACGTGTTTGAGAGGAACCACGGGAATTCCCCGATGCACCATCAAGCAGATGAGAATTGCCCTGTTCGTCCTACTGACGAGAACGCCTTTCATGGACTTCTGCATGACCCAGTGAAGCTTGTTGATGGGGGAGATGATATGGATATTTCAGAACTTGGAAGTTCTGTTGTCGAAGATAATCGATCGCTTGTTTTCATCCCCGACGAGGATGTCGGACGAGAAAATGTTTTTGAAAAATCTGCCTTCATAACTGACGAAAATTTCGATGGTTCCGAAGTTGAAGGTGGTGAAATCGAGCGACAACCCTTAAGTGAGTAAAATCTCTCAGGAAGTGCTATTTTTACAATCCTGATCATCATTTTTATTATTAGATCCGTTGAATATTTCAACGCCTCCAAGACTCGATTCGCTTCCACTGGCGGAAATGGAATCGAGCATGTTCTTTTTGCGAACGCCGGAAATTCGAAGGTTTGGCAATACTCATATACAAGTAAAACCTGCTGCGATGGAGTTCGAAGATTCGGCGAAACTTGACGACGCGACAGCATACGAATCTTTACGGCCGAACTGTTCGTCAAGAACGCAGAACATCACTTCCAGTCACGAAGACTCATCCAGACGTCGATTGACTCAAGTTTTGAACGTATCCGATGCATTCAACGTTCAGCGACCGATCGTCGACTCCGACATGGAGATCTCCAACCGTTCTGACAGCATCGTAAACCCACTTTCAGTTCCTCACAAACCGCTGACATCAACCTTGGTCGGATCCGGGCAGAAGTCCTTCAGCATTCATTGTTCCAGTGATGAAGAAAATTTCAGTCCCGTGAGCATTCCGAAGTACCAGCATGATCGAAAATCGAGGAAAAGCTTTTTTCCGGATCATGATCGGGCTTCTTTCTTGGTTACGCCGCTGCAAATATCAATAAACACCAGTTCTAATCTCGTTCCTCAAAAGAACCCTCATCTTCGCATGCCAGAAAACCCGTTCACCCTGCCTGGAACAGAAACATTTTTCAAACAAGCGTCGAAGTCTGTGCGACGAGCAAAAGTCCCTAAATTTGTTCTTTCCCAGAAAGATCCGGATATAATCAGAGATACTGCGGAAGAGGAAGCAAAATCCCGGGAAAAGTCGCGAGTGGATAGTGAACGCTTTATCCAAGAAGAACTTGAAGCCTTCAAGAAAAAAGTACAAGAAATCAAAGAGTCTATTGAAGTTGCGCGGAAAAGCTCCGGAAAAAGTTCAACTCGTGTAATTCGTGGCGGCGCCTTGAAGAAATGTTGGTGGACCGAGAAAGTCGGTGTTCCGTTGAGAAACCCGCAAGCGACTTCCTGGGGCTCTTGTAAGCGTTACCTCGATTTAACTCATTCCTCGAAATCAGCTATTCAGAATTTTCTCATGAACCCGTGTAATGAGATTGAGAGTTTCGAAATGGTCTTACCTGAAGCGAAAGGTTACATAGTTCTAGAACTGGGCGAACCCTTCCTTGCACCTCAAGTTGGCGATGCGCAAACTCTTCATTGGGACATTCGTTCAATCAGTCTGCGTTGTGCTCCTTCTGAATCTGTTTTCGATTCCATGAGCTCCGCCGTGTTGACAGCCGCGTGGAATCGACATAAAAATGTGTGGCGTCAGTTCAAAACCACCGAGACGTGGACGTTGATGATGGAGAAGTTGTCGCGTTGGGTGTACTTGACGAGTTTTTTCTTCACCGATATCGATATCTGCTCGCTGCAAAGGCCGTGGACTCAGTTGAGCTTTCCAACTTCCAACACAATCCGCCTGCAGGCGTGGTGTGAGCTGGATGTATGTTGTGAATTTTTTTCTGAAGTTGAATTCGACTTTTCCAAGCAATATCCGGAATGCAAGATTCGGGTGAATTCAGTGAAATGCTCGGTGATGCCTTTGGATGTAATTGTGTCGAAACGAATTGCGAACCAAATGATCGATACCTTCAGAAGCAAGGGTATAACTGGTATGATGGATGTCTTGATTGAGCAGGCGAACAAGAGTCATTCTTCGAACGCTGTCAGTGATTTGCTGTAATCCATTTAATTTCCCAGTTCTTCGCAGATTTGATGAAACTCGTCCTATCTTGTACAGTATAAATATAATTTTGTCCTAGTAAATATTTTGAACTGGTCACGGTTGCTCATTTCTGCGATTTGTTATTATTTCTGAGTGCTGTTCTGCTATTGCATAAATTTGCTTGTTTCAGTATATTTTCGACATTTATATTTTCTGAAGCAAAATTCTTAATGATTGTTGCGAAGATTCCAGTCCCTCGGGAAAATCTTCCTGGAATAATTGCCTAATGGATATATTTTTTCAAACTTTTTGTAATTTGAAATACAGTACAGTACAATAGGAATAATTTTTGGGTTATGTTGTAGTTTGATAGGGAAGGGGAGAAGGGCAGTTCGTCGTGTGTTGAAAACCGAGTGTAAAGGAAGAATGCGAAATGCTACAGCTCAATCCAAGTCGTCCATGTTTTCTTTCCGCGCGTATTTCTCGGATGGTTTAAAGCTCTGCTGATTGAAAATATTCGTGTAGCTTCGTGCAAGTTTTCAGTTGTACTCTTTAGGTCTCCTTGATTCTTTTCATGCACATCTTAATTTTGGAATTTTTTAATTACATCAATGAAGAATTTTCGTGTGCTTATGGTTCAAGTTTCTAAAGAAACAGAAGCAAACCTTTCGTCGCATTTCTCGGCCCTGAAAGTAAAATTCTTCCTAGGCGATATCATTTTTGGAAGCGCAATCGGAGAAGTCATCATTCAAAAGCTTGCTACTGAGAGTACAGAAATAAGAAGGGAAAAACGATTCTCGACTCGCTGTTTGGTCCTAGACACTTGTATTCCATAATTGCTTTACTCGTTTTTCGGGTGGGTACGTGCGGTGAATGCTGAGGTGCGTTTTTTTTTCCTCGTCTGACGTCGGGCGTCTGTTGCGATGTGTAAAGCTGTTTTTTTTTTCCGGGAAATTGCTTTTTGAACCCATTCGGTAATTTTATTTTCACTCGATTTTTACAATTTTTAGTTTGCAATTTTTGGATTTGGTTTGCCCTTTTGAAAGTTGTGTTTCCTAAGAAAATTTGTTATTTCTATCATTAAGTTAGGGAGTTTTCCTTCGGGTCGCATGGGTTTCCTCATGCGAAATTATTTTTCCCTAGGCGACGCTTTTATGTGTTTTTGACCGTGATCAGTAAGACGATTTTTCGTCCTTCATTAATTGTGCAGTTCGATCATGTCTATGCTTGCGGAGCCGCGGAAAAGGCAGCGATGGTCGATGAATCCAAATGGAATGAATTGGTCGTGCGGTGAGTGGCAACATATTTTTCTATTTCTCATTATTTTTTCTTTTATTTTCTGGCAGATTTCTCTAGAATACATTTATTATAAGCATTCTCATCCTCGTGGAAAATGAATTTTTCCATTTATATTACATTTTCCGAAATGTAAAACGGTTCAATCCAGTTGAACTCTAGATCTACGACGATGATGACAAACACGAAATTTAATCGTTTTACGGAGGATATATTTTGATGGGAGCTGCTTATGTTTAGATTTGCTACACATATTTCACCAGTAAAAAAAATCTCTCGCGTGGAGCTCATCATTTTAACGAACTCGTACAGTTAGATGCTTCTAATGATCAATTTTTTGTGATTGAGTAAAAATGGATTTGTTGGAAATTTGCCAAAACTAAAATTCAATATCCATCCCACAGATGATTCGAAAATCGGACAGAAAATGCTGGAAAAGATGGGATGGGCCAAAGGGAAAGGTCTCGGTAAAACCGGAAGTGGTATGCTTGATCCCCTAAAGGTCAACGTGAATTCGAATCAAATAGGTATGCTTTCAATTAAATTTGTTCCATCTTAAATTACGTATAATATCTTATCATTTCAGGACTCGGTTTCACGGGTGTCCCGGACACTGCCTGGGTACAGCATCAGGATGACTTCAATTCATTGTTGAGCTCTCTCAATAAGTCGACAGAGCCCACATCAGATTCGNTCATTCCTCGAAATCAGCTATTCAGAATTTTCTCATGAACCCGTGTAATGAAATTGAGAGTTTCGAAATGGTCTTACCTGAAGCGAAAGGTTACATAGTTCTAGAACTGGGCGAACCCTTCCTTGCACCTCAAGTTGGCGATGCGCAAACTCTTCATTGGGACATTCGTTCAATCAGTCTGCGTTGTGCTCCTTCTGAATCTGTTTTCGATTCCATGAGCTCCGCCGTGTTGACAGCCGCGTGGAATCGACATAAAAATGTGTGGCGTCAGTTCAAAACCACCGAGACGTGGACGTTGATGATGGAGAAGTTGTCGCGTTGGGTGTACTTGACGAGTTTTTTCTTCACCGATATCGATATCTGCTCGCTGCAAAGGCCGTGGACTCAGTTGAGCTTTCCAACTTCCAACACAATCCGCCTGCAGGCGTGGTGTGAGCTGGATGTATGTTGTGAATTTTTTTCTGAAGTTGAATTCGACTTTTCCAAGCAATATCCGGAATGCAAGATTCGGGTGAATTCAGTGAAATGCTCGGTGATGCCTTTGGATGTAATTGTGTCGAAACGAATTGCGAACCAAATGATCGATACCTTCAGAAGCAAGGGTATAACTGGTATGATGGATGTCTTGATTGAGCAGGCGAACAAGAGTCATTCTTCGAACGCTGTCAATGATTTGCTATAATCCATGTAATTTCCCAGTTCTTCGCAGATTTGATTAAACTCGTCCTATCTTGTACAGTATGAATATAATTTTGTCCTAGTAAATTTTTTGAACTGGTCACGGTTGCTCATTTCTGTGATTCTTTATTATTTTTGAGTGCTGTTCTGCTATTGCATAAATTTGCTTGTTTCAGTAGAGTTTCTACATTTATATTTTCTGAAGCAAAATTCTTAATGATTGTTGCGAAGATTCCAGTCCCTCGGGAAAATCTTCCTCGAATAATTGCCTAATGGATATATTTTTTCAAACTTTTTGTAATTTGAAATACAGTACAATAGGAATAATTTTTGGGTTATGTTGTAGTTTGATAGGGAAGGGGAGAAGGGCAGTTCGTCGTTCGTTGAAAACCGCGTGTAAAGTAAGAATGCGAAATGCTACAGTTCAATCCAAGTCGTCCATGTTTTTTTTCCGCGCGTATTTCTCGGATGGTTTAAAGCTCTGCTGATTGAAAATATTCCTGCAGCTTCGTGCAAGTCTTCAGTCGTACTCTTTAGGGTTGATTCTTTTCATGCACATCTTAATTTTGGAATTTTTGAATTACATCAATGAAGAATTTTCGTGTGCTTAAGGTTCAAGTTTCTACAGAAACAGAAGCAAACCTTTTGTCGCATTTCTCGGCCTCTGAAAGTAAAATTCTTCCTAGGCGATATCATTTTTTGAAGCGCAATCGGAGAAGTCATCAATCAAAAGCTTGCTACTGAGCGTACAGAAGTAAGGAGCGAAAAACGATTCTCGACTCGCTGTTAGGTCCTAGACACTTATATTCAATAATTGCTTTACTCATTTTTCGGGTGGGTACGTGCAGTGAATGCTGAGGTGCGTTTTTTTCCTCGTCTGACGTCGGGCGTCTGTTGCGATGTGTAAAGCTGTTTTTTTTTTCTCGGGAAATTGCTTTTTGAACCCATTCGGTAATTTTATTTTCACTCGATTTTTACAATTTTTAGTTTGCAATTTGTGGATTTGGTTTGCCCTTTTGAAAGTTGTGTTTCCTAAGAAAATTTGTTATTTCCTACTTCCGTACTTGTGACGTTTGCTTTGTGTTCCGAATTTCTATCATTAAGTTAGGGAGTTTTCCTTCGGGTCGCATGGGTTTCCTCATGCGAAATTATTTTTCCACAGGCGACGCTTTTATGTGTTTTTGACCGTGATCAGTAAGACGATTTTTCGTCCTTCATTAATTGTGCAGTTCGATCATGTCTATGCTTGCGGAGCCGCGGAAAAGGCAGCGATGGTCGATGAATCCAAATGGAATGAATTGGTCGTGCGGTGAGTGGCAACATATTTTTCTATTTCTCATTATTTTTTCTTTTATTTTCTGGGAGATTTCTCTAGAATATATTTATTATATGCATTCTCATCCTCGTGGAAAATGAATTTTTCCATTTATATTGCATTTTCCGAAATGTAAAACGGTTCAATCCAGTTGAACTCTAGATCTACGACGATGATGGCAAACACGAAATTTAATCGTTTTACGGAGGATATATTTTGATGGGAGCTGCTTATGTTTTGATTTGCTACACATATTTCACCAGTCAAAAAAAATCCCTCGTGTGGAGCTCATCATTTTAACGAACTCGTACAGTTAAATGCTTCTAATGATCAATTTTTTGTGATTGAGTAAAAATGGATTTTTTGGAAATTTGCCAAAACTAAAATTCAATGTCCATCCCACAGATGATTCGAAAATCGGACAGAAAATGCTGGAAAAGATGGGATGGGCCAAAGGGAAAGGTCTCGGAAAAACTGGAAGTGGTATGCTTGATCCCCTGAAGGTCAACGTGAATTCGAATCAAATAGGTATGCTTTCAATTAAATTTTTTTCATCTGAAATTGCGCATAATATCTTATCATTTCAGGACTCGGTTTCACGGGTGTCCCGGACACTGCCTGGGTACAGCATCAGGATGACTTCAATTCATTGTTGAGCTCTCTCAATAAGTCGACAGAGCCCACATCAGATTCGCCGAAGGAATTCAAATCTTTGGAGGAAATGTCGAAGAAATCTTTGAAACGCATACAGTTAGTTCTTCTCTTCTTTTCCAGGGGTATTCGTTTATACGTGTATAGTAGTAGGTTAACAGTTTGTGGTTACATTTTTCTTGCGACTAGTTTAGCTGAGGTCTTGAATTGTTGTATAATTGAAATTCTTTATAATTTTTGGTCAAGACTTTTAATACAGTTTTTTTTTTTTGCTGCGAGAAGGGCTTCAGTCATTTTTTCTTTGGCCTCAGTGCTCAAAATAAGAAAATGTATGCCTCGGTTAATGAATTGCGGAGAGGTCCTAACTGTTCCTCTAACGTGTATATCACAGAAGTTCAAGTCGCCTAGTTTTTAGTTTTAGTTGCCATTTATTTCATCCCATGTTGATTTTTCGAAACCTTTCCTTTAGTTATCACAAGTTCGCAAGAGGCAAGGATTTGAAGAATGCCACCGAAAAAGACCTAGCCAGCATTTTCGGTATCATATCCAAAAAGAAAACGGAGCCAAAAGAGGAAGAAAAGGTTCCCACAAAAAGTGGAGAAACTTCGGAAAGTTCATCGTTCGGTGTTCCCACTGTCCACGGTGGTTGCTTGACAGCGTATTTCAGTCGCAAACTTGCCGCGAAACAAAACAAATCGAGTGTCATCGAGAATACAGAAGCAGACTTCCACGATTCAACGAAAAAGAAGCCACAAAGAAATGAATTTGAAGAAGAAGGCTCTCCGAATGCTCATACAATTTCGGAAGAACGCGTAAACTTAGAAGTTACTCTAGTCAAAACTAAAAAGAAGGCTGTTGTTAGTGTTGAAAATTCTCCGGAACCAGTGAAAGATCGTGATGAAACCTGGGAAGATGGCGGAGACGAGAAAATTCGGAAGAAGTCTAAAAGGAAGCGTCGTGATTGCAACGACGTGGATCTTTCTATTGATATTGAATTACCCGAACAGAATGATAATCTGGAAAATAATGCAGTAAAAGTTTCAGAGAATCGGAAGAAGTCTAGCGATAAACAAAAATTGCAAGGGGAAGATTCAAGTTCAATACACAAAAATGATGATGAGAAAAATTCAGGATCTTGGACTGAAAAAACGGTCACTGGGAAGAAAAGGAAGAAGCGTCCCGCAATCGTCTCTGTTACCGAATGTAGTGATGAGATCGTCGATCAGAGCCAAGCCCTTGGAAAGAAAAAATCGCGTTCGGACCAAATCGAGACGGCGCCAGAATCTATAAAGAAGATGAAGAAAAAGAAAAGGAATGCTGACGATCGTTGTGAAGAACTGGAAACCATCCCGATGAATAACATCGAATCTGTTTTGGGTCAAATCGAAGGTAAAATTGCGTCAAAATCGACCGGAAAGAAGAAGAAAAGGAAACTGACTACTGAGACTTGTTCTGAAGAACAGGAAACCATTCCAGTCAATAGCTCCGAATCTTCTTCAGGTCAAATAGAAAGCGAAACGGCGTCAGAATCGACGCAAAAGAAGAAGAAAAGGAAAAGGTCTACTGATTGCTCTGAAGAACAGGAAACCGTTCCAGTGAAAAACTCCAGATCTTGTTATGATCAAGTGGAATCCGAAGTAGCGTCAGAATCGACGAAGAAGAAAAAGAAAACGAAAGAAATTATTGCTGAAGATTGTTCAGAAGACTTGGAAATTGAAACAGAGGATTTCTGCAAATCTGCTGTGGATCGAAGCCATATCGAAGCATCGTCAGTATTGCCGAAAAAGAAGAAAAAGAAAGTGATCACTGAGGACATCTCAGAAGAACTAGAAGCCACAGCAACGGACGATGCAGAACCCGAAAAGAAGGCGTCTGATCAGAAACAAAACGGATTTTCTCGATTGAATTATACGTGTGGAGATAAATGGTCGCACGTCCCAGACTCTATAATGGATTCGTTGAAAACTGCGTTCAAGGGATCTAACATTTGCGATATCGCGGGCTATGGAAATCAGCATTTGAAAAGTTGATGTTTTTCAATGTTTCCTGAAGATATACGAGGTCGGATTCGATGAAAGAAGAATTGCTCTAAATTTCAACTCTGAATTTTTGACGAAGCCTTTATCAAAACTTATTTTCTTTCCCGCTTGGGAAAAATCGAATTGAAAAGTGTTCATTATTTAGAAATTTAATTTAATTTGCGTTTACTTTTCCGTTTCGAAAACATGAAACTTGAAGTAAAGTTGTTGAAATGATAGCGTGACATCGGTGAAATTTGGGTTTTTTCCTCTTGAGTAGTCCGGATTGTTCGCACACATCTCTCACTTACTACAATGGAAAACTTGTCTTTCTCAGATTTGTTTCTTTTCTTTTTTTCTCAGTCGAAGATGAGAGATTGATTCGTAAATAATCAACTTGTCGCTTCCTAATCGGAACTACAGCAGTGAAACCTTCCATCTTTCTCATGTTAGTACCGAAATTCGTCATTTTTTAACTGTGAGTACTTTTTATTAGCATGGAGTAAGTCTTGATTTGGGCTCTAAATTTTTTTAAATTGATGGAGTCCCCTCGGTCATTATACTTCTTCATTCTGTTCTTTTCAATTTTAGGCAAACCTGGCATTCTGAACGTGATAGCAAACCTGTGATCCCACGGCTTAATTGTGTCAAGGATGATTGTAACATTTGCGGTAGCAAAGGCATTATTTGCCATTTTCATTATTTCTGCCATTCCTGGCCGCGCTAAAGAAGAGAAGACTGCTGAGGAACGACGAGATGCGCAGAAGGCTGTCAAATATCCGCCTTGCAAAGCATGTAATCACTTGGTGGAATCGTACCAACGCGTAAGCCTTATCCTTTTTTATCTAATTAACGGAGGTTGCCTGTTTTCTTGTCACGATATTTTTTTTTATGGTTATCTAATTATATAGGGTTTTCCTGAATTTCCGATGAATCGAGTTTTGGTGAATTTGTCTTCTATCTATTCATGATGTTGGCTTTTATGAAACAGACTAATCAGTCCTCGTGATCTTCTTTTCTAAATGCAGTACTGTGCAGCATTCTGAACTACTGTACTTCACTTGGATTTCCTGTCGAATGCTGTTCCCACGGAAAAATAACCAAATGCTGTAATAATCATAATTCTATTAGGGTATCGAGCGAACCTCGAGAGGGAAGTTTGAAGGCGGAGACACGGCTTGGGAAGAAAAAAAGCAGGGAAGCTATGCCAGAAGCGAAGTGCGTTTGATAGAGATTCAAGAGGAGCTTTGTCACGAGACTTCGACTGCGCAATACCAAGTGAGACTTGTCACCTTCATTATTTATTGATTTTTGTGCACCCGTGCGAAAGGTTTTTCCAGAAACTTGGAATCAATCAACGAGGCGTCTTGGGGACAGGAAAATTATTATAGCTTACCACGGTATCAGTCTGCTGGAGTGCATTACTATCCACATGAACTGATTCTTCTAATGATGATTCCGCAGTCAACCCATGTTAGAAATTGAACTAAGTGAGGAAGTTCTTATCAGAATTTCCAAACTGCTGTGGTATTAATCCCAAAGTTGCGAGAGCGTTTGTTCTACATTTTTCCATGATTTTCCTCAATTACGCCCTTGACATCGAAGAACACCCGCCACTAGTCGATATTTTTGGAAAACTTTTATCTTCAGCCTCACAAATCCTCAGGAACAAAAGCTTCATTTTGAAGCAACTTCGTATTTCTGTTGAATAATTTATTGTATCCTAGTTTTTGGATATTCAATGCTCGTGGGACGGTTCACCGTTTGACTCTTGAATATATGCAAATTTGCGATCATCTCTAATGATTGAAATTTTGGTAAAGCTCTTCACCCATCACGCACGCATGTGTCAGTTATTGAAAACAAAATATGGCATCTTTTAGTGTACCCAGCTCGCTTCGGACAATGAACACTTGTTGGAGGACTGGTGGCGCGAGAAAGGACCAGACGCTAAGAGTGACGAACTGCAGAAATGGCTTTGTGTGGATCAGCTGAAAGTCTGTTGTCCGCGTGATCATTATGGTTCCGAATGTCTGCCTTGTCCGGGATTATCGGAAGGTATTCCCTGTAGTGGCAATGGAGTTTGCAAGGTGAGGCGTTGGGAATGGTTTTATACTGTACTGCATTTTCTCCCGAGTACCACGCGCAACTTTTTTTCCCATCAGGATTAAAAAAATGAAGTGCGCGTCGGGGTCGGAGAAAAATTTTCAAGGGATTTTTTTTTTTTTTTTTTTTTAAAGATTGGAAACGTTTTTCTCTAATTTGAATTTTGTCCGACTTCTCTATTTTAATATTACAGTACTATTATTCGTTTAAAACAAAAATAGCACCATCAACGTTGATTTTCTAGCGCGCTTGAATTTAGATTTTTACCGAACACAGCTTTCCGAATAAGAACTTTGGTAACTGAAAAAGAAGGTGTGCGTCTCTGCGGGTGTACAATTTTTTAAAGTACCTGACTGAAAAGCTGAGGTGCGCATAGTACTCGAGTAAATACGGTAAATCGTTGGCTTGAGAATGTCTCTTTACGGAGAGTCCACTGGTACGTGTCCGTCAATTTCATTCCGACGTTTTTTTTTTTTTATTCTAGGGATCTGGAACTCGTAAGGGCAGCGGGAAATGTGATTGTACGCGAGGATATGTCGGTGACGTGTGTCGGGACTGTGCGTCGACACATTTCCAGTCATATGCGGATGATGCAAAGGTGCTTTGTTCCCCCTGCCACCAGAGTTGCATAGCAGGGCAGGAAGATTCTAAGGTGTGCACGGGTCCCGGTCCTAAGAACTGCGCCAGTTGCGGCCCGGGTTGGGTTGCGGACGTGGAGCGGGGTTGCGTGGATGTGGACGAATGCTTGTCCGGAGAAGACGTCTGTAAAGGGAACACGTTCTGCGCTAACGTGGAAGGATCTTTCTCTTGTCTCGGTGAGTTAGTCATTGGTGCATCCCGAAGAGCTGTGATGTAATCATGTGTAAGTTTTTTAGTTGTGGGAGATGAATGGCGTATTCACTCGGGTATTTAAGACACGCTTTTATTTTTTGTTTTGTTTTTGCGTCTATCGGGGGTCGTCGAGACTTTTCATGTACTATTGGCCATTTTTTTCTGAATAGTCGCATTTGTGCCTAGAAAGAACGTGTACCCGACGACGATTCAAAATTGATGTCAATGTTTTAATGTTGATAGAATGTGATCCATCCTGCGATGGATGCACCGGAGATGGTCCTGATTTGTGCAAAACTTGCAATCCGGATTATACAAACGAGAACGGTGTTTGTCTTGGTGAGTTTTCATTCACACCTTTGCTCGTGATGTTTTCGTTCTCGATCCGATCGCGTTCAAAATTAAGATTAATCCCTTTTTTGTATGTCGCAGCCGGTTTTGAATGCTTTTTTAAATAATTTCCTAGATAAACGGAAAAGCAAAGAGGATATGCACTTGACGACGAGTCGTTACGTGACCTATCTGGGTCTCTGTGTTGCTACATTCATCATATTTCAGCGCAACGTATTCGTGGCTGGTCTTGTAGGTATATTGGTCGCGGTTTATGTTTCCGTGTCCGAGTACTGGTTGAGAAATGTGGGGTCGTGATACGCCGTTTTGCTTAAACTCGGTTATTGAGACAAACAAGAAAATGGTTGTGATCGTGTCTCAACAAGACAAATATATTCAGGGTTTTTTTTTTTTTGTGAGGAAAGATTCCGCTCATTATCTGCGCGAAGTTTTTTTTCTCAACTGTGTTGTCACTTGTCAGTGAAGTGTTTTCGACTGTGTGTGTGTGTGAAGTTCAAATTGTGTTTTCTTGTTCGTTTGTTTTTGAAACCCTCGTGGATCTCATTCTTGATTGGGATTGTTGGACTTGCTGATTTATTTCATCGAGTTGACATAATAAATGTCGAAGGCATTGCTGATTTTTGGGCCGGAGCGGTTCAACGTTTTCTGTTAGTTGTGATTCTCTGCTCTTCATTTCCCATTTCTTTTTAATTCTGTTGTTTTGTTTTCCATAAGATTTAATGAAGGTGTGAGAAGTGTGATACCCAACTCAAATCACATAAATATTAGAAAGCTTCCGCTCAACGCCAGATGAGTTCCAATGCTTCTTGATCACCTTAAAACCTGAATTATTGAAGTTCTTGATTGAATCAAATTCCTTCTTTTTTTTCTATCGTCGCCTCGGCATTCAAGCTGCCAAAATTGTTTCCCCTTCAGAGGTTATCAATGGGGATACTGTATGAGCCTTTGCTGTACTCTATAAGGGAGGTTTCCTTTGCCTTTGTGTCCTGGTGTACCGCTTAAGAATTAAAAATGGTGTCCAGTACTGAACCAAGATTTAAATTTGACTCTGGAGTTTAAATTCTCTTTGACATGATTGGTTCCTATGCAACATTTATCAAAGTCTTTTGGATATCATTTTATGAAGATTATATTATAACTCCGAGAAAAATCTTTACCAAAGTTAGAAAAAAAATCCTTCAGAGCCTGAGGTTGGACAAGTAATTCTTCTAAGCCCAATTTTATTTCTGGAATGCTCTCATGTTAATATATTTACTTATTTTTTATTTTCTTATTGGTTTCTTGTTCTATGTCTTGATTTTCAGATCGAGGAGGGTTACATTGCAGATTCTTCCCATTCATCAGCTTTCTTTCCTTCCGTAGCAGTTTTAGCTCTACTGTACTTACGCTCAGAGATCTCGTATTCCTTGTGCTCCTCTTTATTCTGGAATACACCATGGAGCGTGCGATCCGCATGAGTAGAACATCTTACAGAAAAAATCGTCAAGACTGTATCAACGCCCGACATTTTTTGCCCGTTCAGGCATGGCCCCTTCGAGATCCTGTGTTCCGTGGCTCTATTCCAGTCCGAGGTGAGAGTGTTCAGAGAGGAGGTTGAGAGCCATATTTTTGTGCGACATCATGAACGAATAGCGAGAGAAAAAGAATTCGTTAATCGTCGAAGGTGAGCGCAGATCCCAATGTGATGTTCATTCGATTGCATAAGCTCTTGTTTACAGGGCTCGCAGACTTGGTCAGAAAGTTTTGCTCGAATTCCCTGGGCAGAGGCGGACCCGCCACCAGCTCTCTGCATATCCAATGACTGTTCATGATCTCATTCCGGATCGTTGCGAATTTTCTCATGTTCCGGTCAACCGGGTCAATTGGTTGACGAACATACCTCGTATCGACGACCCCCGGATGCAGGATGACGACACCCGATACAGAGCTTATTCTGCTATGATCTTGTTTCCCGCTGAGGAGAACCCGCCCCGTTTGTGCCTTCTGGCGGCGTACCAGATCATGGCTCGTGATGTCCCGTTAGCCCCGGGAACGGGCGAGGAACTGAGGAAAATGCCGAGGGCATTTGAGTGGTACAAATTTGATGGAATGACCTACGAGCAAGTGCCGGGCCAACCTCAGGTCCCAATTACAGCTGATAACTTCTTCGATTTCCTGGGCTCTGGAAACACAGATGGTTTCTTGGACAGAATGACTAGGAAAAAAAACTTCATAGATGCGGCTATCAGGGAATTTGCAGTGGTCGCCTTTTGCCGTGGCACAATCAGACAAACGCGTCTTGATAATTTGTTCTGTATCTTCGGGGATTATGCCGGGCCATCTGTCTCAAAAATTCGAAATCAGCACAAGGCGACGTTCGCGAACGTCGTTAGTGCCGAGTTCTACTTAAATCTTTCCCGTGCAACTCCGCTGCCTTATCAATTTCCGACCGAGTTGCGAAAAGTGTATTCGCAGTCACAGTTCACGCGGATGAATAACATAAGGATGATAGCAGAGACTCATGATGCCTACAAACTTGCTCCTTGGCACTTACTCTATGCAGCATTTTACCAAGAGTCCCAGGAATTGATGAGTACCATGAAGAAGCTTAATGATCACGGCGAGATCGGACCGTTTCTGGGGTATGGACCGGATATCGAGATAATCAAGGTCACGAACTTCCCACACATTGCATACGCCTGCGCTTCGATCTATGGAGGCGTAGCATGGCGCCAATGCGCGGAGGAATGGCTCGTTAACTCATCAACCGTCGAAAGGGCCGAAGTATGTCGCTGGATTTATGGCATCGATAAGCTAGTCTTCAAAAGAGAAATCAGTTACTCGCATCCGAAATGCGGGGCAGAACTGATCTCTGCATGCTCATCGTTTATCAATGGGCAGATGCGTGAGCACTTTTCTTCCGAGGCGGAAAAAAATTAATTCTAGACGAATTGTGAGGAAAGTGCATTTTCTGTGAACTTCTGGCCCGGCCGAAGTAAATGTTATCCACGGAGAAACTCCGCCCGTTCTTGGAAACCCAATTCTAATTTTGTTGTACTGTATTGCTTCATTCATGTCTGACATTCGACAGAAAATCGTCTTCATATTCCGTATAGGAAATGACGGAAGATCCGTCTTCAGTCGCGTCTAGTCTTAGTGTCGCGGAATTAATTTCGTCGCGTCGGGAAAATCTATGGAAGAACGAGTTGAGAAATCCTCTGCACGCCGTGGATGCGATTTGTGCTGCCCGTGAAAAAGCCTTCGAACGATTTGCGGAAAACCCAGGTGTGTATGATTCATTTTGCGAGGCTTTTTGCGTTACTGTGAAATGATCTGCTCGAGCAATAGCTAGATCTAGATTCTAGAATGCCCTTGATTCTGAAACGTTTGAGGTCATATTTTGTGAATCCCTCATTCATTGTTTACCTCGGTAAAACAGAGCTGCCCAGATGATCGTGTATACGGAGTGGATCAGAACAAAGTAGGCAGATCATAAATTGCGGCGTTCGTGACACCAAATGGTGTGAAAACCATGCGTTCGGCTCTTGGCCGTCTATGAAAAAAACAGATTGTTTACATTATGTGTTCAGCTTTCGAGGTCATGGCTTCGATTGTTCTGAAATTATTTCTTTTTTAATCTGTATATGTTTATAGTGCACTCAGTTGTATATATTGTGCTCGATTTTATTATGCACATACAGGTGGTACCTTGCAATTCGACCCTAATCCGTTACCAAACTGGGTTCGAATTTCGAGACGCTTCGTTAAATTAAAAAAATATCAGTACAAAAACGCGAAGAAATTGGCCAAAGCAGGTCGAATTGTGGGGCAAAGGTTGTATTGCAAGTCAACATTTTCTGCAAATTCGACCGTCGAATTGCGAGGTACCACCCGTATTGTACAGTATTCACTATTCGAAGTAATTTTTTATCTATTCTCTCCAGTTTCACTTCATGCATTGAAGCTTTCAGCTGAAAATAAGTCAAAGAAACCTGAACCAACAAAAGACGCCGGTACGAGGAATCCTGCTCAAAAATCGCCGAAGAAAAATCATCCGCTGCCACAAAACCCTCTGCTAACTTTGAACGAACTCCAAGGGAAGCTCCTTGAACTCCTTCGCTCCTATGAAGTGTAAGATATGTTTGATGTTATTTTGTGGAAATTTTTTTTTTCTTTCAAGTTTTGTATTGTACAATACTGTATTCCCGTTTATGCAAATTCCAGGCAAACGTGTTCGTCATTTTCTGAAACCGATGGTGATCTGTTGACGGCAGTCGGTGTGACGATCCGCGCCTGTTCTTCAGAACTTGCTGAACTTCAGAAATTGTGCTTCAAGCGACCGATTCCTTTGCTTGTTTTACAGAGAATAGTCCGTGTTCATCGAACTGTGAACAATATTTTTCAGGTGATTTTTTTTTTAATATAAAATTTTTAGTGCATTTTCTGCACCATATCGCATGTTTATGAACATTCCACTAGAGTTTTTAAGATGAAATATGTGAGGTACCAGCGAATTATTTCGTTTTTTTAAATCCTCGGATTATGCTCTTCTTTCAGAGGCTGATTCACTGGAAACTGCCGGAATCTGGAGATGCTGGAGTGTCGAAGATTGCTCAATCCTTGTTGGACACCATTTGTGTATTATGTGGTGTAGTTGCTAAAGCCAGCGGGATGGTGAAATCTGCGGAGCACATTGCGACGTTTCACTTCGACATTCTGGACTGGATTTTGAGCAATGGGGGCGAGTTTTTGAATCCGAAACCGACTCAGAAAGTTCGAAAACAAATACAGTTCGAAGAATCTTCTGTTGAAGAAGAACGTGAAATTGTTGCAAAAATCAAGGAAACTCTTCCAGAAATTAAAAGCTTTAGCATAAAAAACTGTGGAGAAACGTCGTATCTCCGTTCAGAAACAACGTCCTTTAGAGACGAATATCCCGATTATTGGCGCACGATTGAAGAGTGAGTGCCCTTTTTTTAATCTTGATCTCCTAGCGTTTAATTTTGCGAATCCTTTTTTTTTATTTCAGGTCTGCATCTGATTGGATATCAGGCGTTGCCCAAGAAGCAAACCGCATGCTCGCAGAAACTGAGGACATGTTCATACGTGAAGTGCTGAAACGAGAATTTTTCGGTTCTTGAATAATACGGGTCTCAATGAATGTGTTATCCATGTAATTCGTCGAAATGTGGTCCAATAAAATTGTTCGTTTTTCTATTGCAGATTTATTTTCTCGCTCATTGGAAAAAAAATGTGACCGAACGAATGAAGTAATGCATTAGGTTTACGACAAACGACATTGCGAAGGATAGCTACGAGCTTTTCATGGAGCCAAAAGAAGGTTCACCATAAGGAAAACTTAGCGCGTGTGTATAATACAGTACTGTCCCGTAGTATCACTGCCAAAACCATCGTAGAGGTGGTGACAAATAGTGTACGACTTCAGCATTCATTCCACCTATTCCTGAATTGAAGGTATAAGCTCAGATGAATTTATTGCCCCTCAATGATGAAATAAACCTGCATTCAACGGAAGCACATAGCTTGGGTAAATCAAAAGTGAATGACCCATACCCGTATAAATTATCTGCAAAGCTGGACTTTCGCAAGTCCAGATATATGATGCAGATCCAGAAATACGGTACGAGGCTTATGTGAAAATCGTATGGTTTTAATTCATTGGTGTTGTACAGTACATTATTGTAATTTCCAATGGAGAATTTCAGTGTAAGCCGATTAACAGTGACCTCTATTTTACCACAAAGCACATTGCTTACGATAATGCTGCATCAGCGTTATTGGTTCGCCTGAACTTCGGAAGTTCGTCCTCAAGACTCCGCACTGTGTCCGATTTTGAGTGACGTTCGTCTACTTCGCTGTGTTATCGGGTTAGTTGTTGAGAGTTCGAAGGCGATTTCTGTGTATTCCTGAAAATGATTGTATCTCGTAAATTGATGACGTGATGATGCCTTTTTATATCAATTATTCAGTGGAAATTTGTAGTGCCTTTATGCGCATGGCATCGCGGTCGGATCGTTAACTTGATCATTTAAAATGTCGTCTATGACGTTCGGCCAAAAATCGTTTACCCCTTCTCCGCCAGATAAGGGAAGTTTTCCGTTGGATCACGAAGGGCTGTGCAAGCGTCCGATGCTTAAGTACATGTTATGTTTGACGCAGAACAACAATCGTAATTCCGAGTGTCGCCAAGAAGCCAAGGATTACCTGGAATGTCGGATGGAGAATAACCTGATGGCCAAGGAAGATTTCAAAAAATTAGGTTTTGTCGAAAAGCCTTCGATATCAGAATGACAAAGAAAAACGTTTTACTCATGTGTACCGGTAGCGTCGCATCGCTCAAAGTTCCCGAAATCAGTAAAGCGCTGCTGTCTACCGGTATGTTCTGCATACGTGTTGTCGTGACCGAAAAAGCCAAGCATTTCTTTGACTTGAAAGACTTGCCCCCTGGAGTTGATAGTTTTTCTGATGATCTTGAATGGTCGTCCTGGGAGAAACGTGGAGACCCAGTTTTGCATATCGAGTTGAGGAAGTGGGCTGATATCGGGCTCGTCGCCCCATTGGATGCCAATACGTTGGGCAAAGTCGCTGCCGGGATTGCCGACAACCTCGTCACTTGCTGCCTTCGTGCTTGGGATTTTTCTAGACCGCTATTGGTTTGTCCTGCGATGAATACTCAGATGTGGTTGCATCCAGTGACATCCAGTAATTTGCGCATTCTAGAGTCGTGGGGATTTCGAGTGATACAGTGCATTGAGAAGACTCTAGTTTGTGGAGACACGGGGTTAGGTGCAATGGCCGAAATTCACGAAATCGTCGCGAAAGCTGTAGAAGCAATGAAAAGTGAATGATATTGGCTTTTTTTTCTTGTTCCAGCTCATGTACGTCTTAATGTATATTCTAAATAATTTTATATGTATTACATGATTACAGGTTAACTTTAATGCGTACTAAATTCGGAAAACCATGGGTGTATAGCAGCTTTTTCAAGAAATGTATGGACAAAGTTCCTGGTAAAGAAACTCTTGGAGTCTATCGATTTTTACCCGCGTTCTTCGTCCTCGGCGCCGCGCTCGAATTTTCTATGATTAATTGGCACTTCGGCGAAACCAACTTCTGTGAGTTCGTTTTTCGAAGTCTAAAGCGGAGATGTTACCTACGGTTCCTCTCTCTTTTAGACCGCACATACAAAAAGCGTGTCGTGAAGACAGCGTTAGAAGGAGCTTGAAGAATGCCTGCCGGTGTGAGCCTGGAGAAGTACGTCAAGTTTGGATGTGCTGCGTTGGCTTCAATGCTGCTTGGAGCTCAACTAGTTCACATTAACTACCGCCCCTTAGACGACTTACCCAAATTGATCGAGGACGAAAAGAAAGTTCGGCGTGAATCTTAGTCGTAGCGCTGGTTGCAAAGATTAGTATCAAAGCTTTTGCATAACTCACGTCATTCTTTCCTATGAATTGCGTTTCCCCATGCTTTTGATTTCTTTCCAGAACAATGCGATGTAGTCGAGTTATTTTATTTAAAAGTTTTAAAGCTGGCGAAGACAAATACGAATTAGTGCTTTCAGAAAATGGATTTATGGTATCCGCCGTCAACCCTCTTCAGTTTGAATACGTTTTGGACGATCTGAAGGAAAAGATAAACTGTTTTTCTTCGTATTATGGTAAGTTTTCAGCTTTCAATGAAGTCTGCAAATTGAATCTTCCCATTTTCCAGGCCTTGTATTGACGAGCAACAGAGCTGTAGATGCTTTCTGCAAAACTCTTGACTCAAGTGTATCTGAAAATGCTACATTTTTCTGGAAAAATACTGCTGTGATTTATGCGGTGGGACCGAAAACGGCCGTTCACGCGGAGGAGTCAATTGGAAATGGGAATGTCTTCGGTGAAAATAGTGGTAATGGAGATGAATTGGCTACGTTCATCTCCAATCATATAAACACAGGTAATCGCTCTTTCCTACACTTCTCATGTTATGCTTCTGTTTGCCATGAATATTGATTTCTAATTGGGATCTTTGTGCTGGGCCTTTTTTCTTTTGTTTGAATGTGTAATAATTGATGCCGCTTCGGTACAATAATTATCTACTTCCATCGCATCTACTCAGTGGACTAAAATTATTGCGTCTTGATTATCCCATTCGATCTTTGAAATTTGAGCATAATTATGTTCGCTTTTAAATCGACAATTTCTGTGGAAGATTGAAGCAGTGCTGCTTAATCTGATAGTTTTCCCTTTTTTTGTTTTTTCGTAGAATCCAATGTGCAAGCACGATTACTATATCCCTGTAGCGACATCGCTGTTGGTACTGTTGTTGAGAAGTTGAAACAAGAAAAACCTAACATTTGCGTAGATGCTGTTACTGCGTACAAAACCACTAGCAACATGAAGCTTGAAGAGCAGCTGACTGCAGCAATCCAAGATTGTGTGCGTACTGAAATTTTTGTTGCGATGGTGTAATTGCCGACTTCGATGCTTTTTGTAGGATGGAAAACGGACTCTCGTATTTTTTAGCCCATCCGGTGTTCGAAATGTTTTTGAAGCTAGCGAACGTTTGGGTCTGACACTATTCGACGATGCCGAAGTAAGTTCAAATTCATCTTCATTGGTGGTTTATTTGTTTGCTTTGATACGAGCACGGGAATTCCAGGTGATAGCTGTTGGTCCGACTACTGAGCAAGCTCTTGTACACATGGGTCATCCACCGGATAAAATCATGGACAGACCCACTCCTGATTCTCTACTGAAGTGCTTGAGCGACAATTAAGGACCGAATCGAAAATGAATATTCCTGGTGCTATGATATACGCGCTAAACGTATGCTTTGATGTGGGGTTTTATTTTTAACTTCACTGTCGTAATTCCCAAGGATTCTGGCCGAATAAAAAAATTACAGCGCAACTCTCGTATCGCCTCTTTAAATGTAATTTCTTGATTGAATAACATCCCGTGCTTTAAAATTTCACATTAATTTTTGAATAATGAATGCATTTTTCCAAAATATGTTATTTCCAACGAATACATTCGTATAACGAGCTACTCAAAGGGAATTCGTTAGAATTGTTATTTAGTTCATATTTTTTTGAAGAATGAAGGCCCAGGAAATGATGGCGCCTTTTCAAGGCAAAATTTTCCGAATCTATGAATTTTGGAAAGCCAAATTTTGGCTGAAAAGGTAATTAAATAGATACGGTATTTTCACTCGCATTCAAATTATTTTTTGTCCATCTTTTGTATTGTGGCCTTCATTGAAATTTGATGAGTTGTACCTCAGCAAAAGTTGAGATCATTCTTTATTGCTTGCGAAACTCAGTTAGTTTTTACTTCTGATTACAACATGAGTTCCATGAGTGCTTTTTATTTGAAGAGCTGTTCTATTTTTTGGGAAGACGATAGTTTTTTTTAAGAATTGTCATTGTGTATCGAAATTGAATCGTTGTAGCTCGTTGCTTGCAGATCTGTCAAACTGTGCCGTGTTCTGTGATCGGATCTTGTTTTCGTGACCAGTGAGATGAAGGCGTTGATTTTGGTTGGTGGATATGGGACCAGACTTCGTCCGCTCACCCTGACGCGGCCGAAGCCATTGGTGGAATTCTGCAACAAACCGATGTTGATGCATCAGATAGAAGCTCTGGTGAAAGTCGGAGTAACTCATATTATTTTGGCTGTTTCGTACATGGGCCCGCAGTTGGAGGCTGCGTTGAAACCAGAAGAGCAACGAGTAAGTATTCAAAACTGTTTTAAATGATTTTTTTTTTATTTAAATTATTTTAAGTAAAAACGCTTCATGTTTTCTATCTTCTTCTGCACGCGCTCCTTTTCGTGTTATTCGCGTCGTCGCCTTTTATCAGGCTGGGCGTTGCTGTCGATAAATTTAAATCCAAAATACTGCGCGCAAATCTCTAGATTCAAGGAAAAGATTCTGAAAATGCACTTTCCCAGCAATAAATAGTTCGCTTTAGAAGGAAAATATCAGATTTTATATTTTGAAACACAAATGCTTTATTTTCGCCCTCTTGGAACAATGGACTCTATCTCAACAACTCTTTTGATTGCGCTGCGAAGAAAAATATTACTGCACAGAGGCACTAGTATGTCAGCTAAGATCAGTTCTCCTCGTCTTCCTACTTGATTATTTCTGATGGCCTTTACAGTTGGGCATCACCATAACGCTTTCTCACGAAGACGAACCGATGGGAACAGCAGGACCTCTAGCTCTGGCTCGAGAACACCTAATGGGACCCGATCCTTTTTTCGTTTTGAACTCGGATATCGTGTGCGAGTTTCCTTTCGCGTCTCTTTTGGAGTTCCACCGACGACACGGAAAAGAAGGCACCATTTCAGTGACGAGAGTAGAGGAGCCATCCCGTTATGGTGTGGTTGTGTATGATGAAGAAGACGGCCTCGTGCGTAGTTTCGTGGAGAAACCGCGAGAGTTCGTGTCGAATAAGATCAATGCTGGGTTGTACGTGTTTAATCCCAGCGTTCTGGATCGAATACCAGTGAGTTACGACGTCTACAAAATTTAAGCAACGATCAGTATAGCGTGTCTTCGAATAAGGAAAGACACACACAACGTAAGACATGCACAACGAAAAATCCGCATATCAAAAATACTGCATAACCTTGACTCTCAGCATAACAAAATTGTTTCAATGAACCGAATTTTTGGGTGGAAAACGCTTGAATTTGGCAATTTTTTGGCTAAAAATTGCCCAAATGTTTTAAATTCGGAATTTAAAACGGAAATTTAGAAAAAAATATTATTCTTCCTTTTCTTGTTTTTAAAATTTGTTTGATACCGAAAAATAATAGCACGAACTCATCAAGGATTATTTGAAGTTAACAATGATGAATTTTAAAGTTTGCAAATTTCTTCTGAAAACTATAAATCTTATGGAGTTCTTGATAGGCTTTTGTTGAGTTTCTGGAACGAATTAATTATTTTATGATGTAACCTTGATGGAAATCGCTTCTCCCGTTAAAATAAAATTACAGTTTGTTTCGCGTGAAGGTTTTAAATCAAATTTTCGGAAACCTAACATTTTTCACTTCCGAAAAAATACTCCGGTTCGGTATCTCCGCAGAAATTAAGTTCCAGCTGATTTATAATCAAATTTGGGTGATTTTTTTGCGTTTCAGAGACAACGAACCAGTATTGAGAAAGAAACGTTTCCCGCGATGGTTTCACTCGGTGAACTGTATGCAGTTGAGCTGAAAGGGTTCTGGATGGATATTGGAAAGCCAGAAGACTTTTTGAAAGGAATGTCATTGTTCCTGGGTTTCCTGAGTCGTTTAAAACATTCCGATATTTCGTTGGAGGAAGGGATGCGGGGGAACGTGCTGAAAGTAAGTAAATCCATACAATGCTTACTTCATTGTGGGTTATTTCGTAATTTTTGTCATTGATCTTCGCCGGTTGAGAAGGTAACATTTTCTCTGAGTTTTGAGCAGTCATTTTAAATTTTTCTTATATTTTCTGAAACCAGGAATAGAGTTGAGACTTGTGACAGTCAAGAATTCAGGTCATTTTCCCATTACCCCCGTGCTAGTTAAGTCGTGCCTTGACGGGGAAAAGAATTGGAAATTGTAAGCTTGTTTGCAATTCTTCCTGCACCGAAAATATGCATGTTTTCTTATGACTGGCTCATTCATGTGTAAAACTTGGAATTTTTCAAGGATTCCTCTGCAAAAATCGGGAAAGGATGTTTGATCGGACCAGATGTGACGATTGGGCCGGGCGTTGTGATTGAAGATGGCGTGTGCATAAAAAGATGCACTGTAATGAAAGATACTGTCATCAAGTCCCATTCGTGGCTGGAAAATTGCATCATTGGCTGGCGTTGCGTTGTTGGGCAGTGGGTGAGTTGATTTTGAACCCGTGGTCTGCTTTTCTCGCGTATATATATATACTGTATATATTTTGTTTTAATGTTTAACTTTTTTGCTTGATAGGCGAGATTGGAAAACTTAACAGTCCTCGGAGAAGATGTGCGTGTGGCCGATGAGGTGCACATCAATGGCGGAATGGTTTTGCCTCATAAAGAAATCACCACTTCGGTGCCTGAGCCGGAAGTCATAATGTAAATGAATGATTCGCCGTGGATCATATGCCTTCTGTGATACTCTTCCAGGATTTTAGCTTTCCTTGTAAGCTTCTCAATCATTGTTGAGCTTTTTTTCGTCCATTGTGTGTGGAAGGGGGGGGGGGGATTTGTTGTAAGTGCGCATCTTGGGCATATTTTTTTGTGGATTCCAGCACCTGTGGTGATCAAGATTATTTATGCAACTTGCGGTTTTATTCCTTGAGTGTGCCGTTCTTCGTTTGAAAAAGAAAAAAAAGGAATGACGGGAAAAACCGTGTTATTTTCCGAGTCTACTTTATTTTCGATGTTGACACTATTTTTTTTAATAATATATTTTCATTTGAATGTTCGTAGATACGGTTTTGCGTGAACGTTTTGATGGAATTTCGGCAGGTTAGTAAATCGTAGAATTTGTTACTCTCCCACGAACATTATTGAAAGCACGTGTGTTTCTTCTAGTTCCGGGATTTCTTGGAAATATACAACAAAATTGGAGAGGCCTGCTTTATGAAATGTGTGGAGACGTTCACACAGCGGTCCATCACTGATACAGAGGCAAGTTGCGTAAGATGAATCCGTGAATCTCGAGGGATGGTAGATAAGTTTTGAGAATCTGGAAATTTCCATTCTTGAGATTTTCCCAATGTATTCTACAGCATTTCTCATCAACGCGTCTTGAATCGAAAAAATTATTCGAAAAGAAATTTCTTTGATCCAGCTTAACGAAGAAGCTCTTCTTATTATGCTTTCTTAAGAAGAAAAAGTGTTTCCCCTGTGTGCGAACTGAAGGTCACGCAGAATAAAATTTCCGAATTCATAGGATGCATCGGGAACAAATTAATTAGGATTGCAGAATGGTTCACGGCATTGAGGGAGGTGTCCTTGCATGACTTGATGCTGGGAGATCTATTTTTTAGAATTAAAAAAAATCCCGGTTTATTCTTTTCAGCTACTATAAAAACTTCAGCAACCCTTGCAACTGGTGTTTCGTGTGGGTGCAGAGATGAAATTTAGAATATCTCCAATTAAATCTACCATGCAATACGTTTGTATCCCATTGATTATTTCAAACTGCGAGAAATTTTTCCGACGTTTTCCAAATCCTATGCATTATTTCGAACTTAGGCCCTATTATTCAGTCACTGCGGCCTGCAGCACACGAATATCTGACTTGAATATCTTTCGCATCATCTTTGACAATCTTTTGGTATAAATGAAGTCTATGGTCGAGGCAAAACTGCATTCGTTTAGTTTAAATTTAATGTAATTGACACAGATGTTTTATTTTAGCTTAAATGCGTCGACGTCTGCTGTACCAAACACCTGCGAACGAACCACAAATTACTCAACTTGTACGTTGCTGAGCAGCCCAGACTCGTCGAGCGTCGCAACAAAGAAGCCGAGCGAGTGAACCAAGAAATGGAGAAGCGGAAGGAGGCTTTGTGGAAGAAGATCGAGTCCCGCAAACTTTATCCAGTCCAGCAAACCCCCACGGCTGATAACCCAGAAACTCTTCTTTTCTGAGAAAAAAACGTTTAAAAAGATGGTTCTTCCGCCTGAGGTAGCTTTTGTAGTTATGGTTGGATTGCCTGGTTCAGGGAAAACGACCCTCGCTCGTGAAATCCGTGATAAGCTGTTAGAAACCGCGGGTTCCCAGTGTGTTGTCATGTCTGTGGACGAATTTGTTCCATTGAGACATCAAACTGGGGGACTAAAAATGACGCGTAGTGCTGTGAGGCAGGTGATTGAATCTTGTCTGGATCCGAATGCGCCATCATCCGCTGAAAATTCAGAACTGACACTGTTGGTTGAACATTGGTTGACGTGCAGCATCAATTTCAAAGCACCTGGGAGAAAGTTTGTGGTGATCGATGACAACAATTTCTTGAGAAGCATGCGATACGAATACTTCCAACTAGCCAGACAATTTGGATGCGGATTCGCGCAAATTTTTGCGACCTGCGATCTTGACGATGCTCTTATCCGGGATAGTTTGCGGAAGGAACGCGTTGGAGAGCACGTGATCAGGAAAATGGCCGCGAAAATGGAGAAGCCCAAAAATAGCGATTGGGAGGTGGCATCGTTCATGTTGTTGCAGCTTGGGCATGATTTGAATATCGACGAAATTCTGCAACTGTGTTCTTCGCCGGTATGTTTATAGCTTCGTAATAATCAAAAATGGAATTTTGTCGTTTTGTAAATTTCTTTACTCGTGTGCTTTGTTGAACAGTTGTTTTATAAAGACACGGTTGATAATTTCTTAACTATTTCTGTATTTGGCTTACCCAGAAACGAACCTTTTGGTTAACTTGGTGTTGGATTCTTTTTAAAATATGATATTTTAACACAGGTACCACCATTAAAGGATGATTCTGCTGAACGTGGCGAAAGCCGTCGTATTTGTCTGGAGAACTTCGCGCATCAAATGGACAAGGCCTTGAGGAAGTGCACTTCAGAAGTGCTGAAAAGGTTGCCGCCTGGAGTGAATCGGGGAGAAGCAAGTAAATTGTTGTCCAAGTGCAAAAAGCTGCTTATTCATCGCGTTAAATGTCCTGATCAGTTTGATTTGAGAGAAGAAGTCGTGTTCGATTTACTCAAACAAGAATTGCTGTCGGATGTATGTGTCCTGAACCCTGTCGCGATGGCTATTTATGAATGCCTTGAATGAAATGGAAATGCAGGGTTCTTGATGTCAGGTTGCGGTTTTGATTCACGGGCTGCGCTGACAATTTCCCAAGAATAGCAGTGAGACTTGGGTAAATTTTTTGTTGGAAAATTTATTTTTACTGACTTATTGAAACCATCTGGGCTTTGTAAACTCAGTGCAGTGGGAGTTTTGGGATCTGTGGAATGGTGCTAGGGATGCAGTCCTGTAAGTCGTTTCTGACTAATGGCCCATAGGTTTAAGGGCTCTTGTAAAGAGTTTAATTAATGATGGTCTGGAGGCATTTTTTTCTGTGAATATGCTCAGGGTGAGTCAATTCCAAGGGTTCATCTAGCCTTGACCAGATTGGAATGAACTGTACGTTACTTCACGTTGCCGTTGTGCGGTAGAGCAGTGAACAAGCCACCTGGCGGGATTTAGGAAAGTTATCGAATCGGGAAGTTCTTCAAGAGGAAATTTTAAAGCTGCTATACTTATTTAACTTCGTTATCCTTGTGGCATCTGTGACTCCTTGCAGTTGTGGGGATAAAATACCGTGCAATACACGATTTTTGGTTCAAATTTGGAAACCTTGCATGATATATACAGTACTGTAGTTATACACCACACTGCAGGCTTGAATCCTAACCGGGGAATCCGCGTGAGCGCTCCGAACCCCTAACTCGAGAAGAATTGTCTGTCCCCACCCACAAACTTGTATATCCTAGGAATACTGTCTTATGATAGTGGGAGTAAGATGTATTTCTTGTCTTAAGTGCTGTAGAGTGAAGAACAGATTCTACACTACATAGACGGTAATGTAAGTCTTGCAGTGGAAGTGTCGGGCGCGTTGTGTGTCGCACTCATCCTCCGCTGCGATTAGTGATGAGTAATTTCTGAATTGATATGATCGTGAAATTTCTGTCTACTGCAGGGCAAGTGCGAGTTTCCGTTTTACAATGCCGCGTGAAATCAAAGAGATCAAAGATTTCTTACTGACCGCGAGGAGAAAAGACGCGAAATCAGTGAAGATAAAGAAGAACCCAACAAACACGAAGTTCAAGGTTAGATGCAGCCGCTTTCTTTACACCTTGGTTGTCACCGACAAAGAGAAGGCCGACAAGCTGAAACAGTCGCTTCCCCCCGGTCTGCAAGTTAAGGAGCTGAAGTGATTTGTTGCTGCAAGGTTACATTCTCCTGGAGGATAGTAAATTACGTGGCTCGATGCGTAAATCTTGTTGTCTTTATTTCGAATGTGCAAATTTCAAGTTGCTTTCAGATCCCATCATGTAAGAAGAGACGGGGTTTCGATATTGAAATGGGTTGGGATATATTGATCGTTAATCACGAAAGTGAAGCGCGAATAGAGAAAAATCTTGGCTTCGCGAACGAACGTTAGAGCGATTTTCGGAGTTCCTCGCTAGGTTATGTGGAAGAAAATATCGTTTCCTCTATCATCTGCTTCACTTCCCACTGGATGATGAGGATGACGATTTTCCAGAAGAAGACGAGGAACTTTTCCCAGGATATTTGTGGGGGCCTTTTTTCTTGTGTACCGCTCCATCACTGATGGAATTAAATCCCACCATGATCATGAAAGCGACGACCTGTGTGAGAACACATCGCGTTATAATTATTAATATTTCGGTTTGGGAGCTCTTGAGTACTCACAAAAATGTAGTGAAAAATACCGCTGAGGTTCATGATTGAATAGAAGATTTCTCGAGTGTCGACGTCGCTGACGCTTTCTATGTTGGAAGTGTTTCTCATCGCTAACTCAAGATGCGCTTATAAACCCCAACGTGGAAGGACGCTCTCTCCGCGTTTTACTAAGATGCGCTGTAATCCTGATTTCATGCCCTTGTATTTACCGCAACATTAATTGAACTTGAAATGAGCGTTTGTATCCTAACCTTGATTAGAATTCATCCGCGGATTAAATCGCCGAATTCTCTTCCTTCATCCTCGTCCAGTTGTTCTTGTGCAATTAATCATTGAAATTTTCCCGCATCATATTTCAAGGTGAGCGCTGCGCGATTTTATTCGTCCGTATGAATGGCTGCGGTAAGAGTTCGCTTCAAGGTAGCTGTGCAATTTTTTAGACGAGACCATGCAGTTTTGAAATTGAATTTATGGCTTCTCTGATATTCAAAAATTTTTTTTTCGTAGTACTGACTGCAATAGACCATTAATTCGGTACACAGGAAAACTCTAGTTATCCGGAGTCCGATGTATTCATTACAAAAATATTTTGGATGATCCATATTCCTCTAGCCAGGATTTTTCTTTTCATTCCTGGGTCCTATTTCCCAGAGCTGAAGCAATTCTCTCTCGAAGGCCGCCTTTTAATTCTTCCGTAGATCGTGCGAAAATAACAGCCATAAGATACTTTTTATTCTGTATTTTACCAATGGTAAATTTTTGTGATGAAGCATGAAATTAAATTCCAGATGTTTTCCCAGACCCGAATTTTCGTTAGGCGATGCGATTGTTCCTAACCGAAAGATTCTGTGGCGAGTGTGGCCTTCTAACATCGGTTATATGCCCCATGAAATGTGAAACCAAATGGAAGCAATCTCGCCATCAGCAGAATTGAAGCTATCCGCGGTTTCAAATTAGTTCTGATAGTGAAAGTTTTTACGCTGCTTAAAGAGTGAGGTGCAGACTAATATTGTACGCGTTTGTCCAACTACATATTTGAGATCCCATGTCTACTTATTAACAAGGATTGGCTCATGCACAGTGATTTCAAGCGTATGAGGATGCAGATGAGCGATCAGAACCCGTGGAGGATGGGTCCGATAGTTTCCCCGCTGCACTTGATGATGAACCGGAAGATCGTTTCCCGGTGGATGATGATGACCGAGGCTTTCCGGTGTTGGAAGAACCCGAGAGGGAAGCATAATCGTTGTCCTTTCTTTTCCTCCACCCGAACAGGGCACTTGTAGGCGAAGGCATCAGAATTGCGACGAATATGACGGTCAGCTGAAAATTGCAAGGTACTGCTGGTATACAAATTTTGCTGGTGCCAATTTTGGTCACGCTTGTTCACTGTCAATTGGGTGAACCTCAATTTAGTGCCATCATTGTCCTGGCACTAAACTGAGAGTATTTCACAAGATGAAGGATTAGTTGAGGGCTTCTACTACAGTGTAGGGAAAATAATATTTTTTGAAGAATAGTTGGGTCTTTGTATCTAATTTTTCAGAAAGAAATTATATGATGCTATTGAAAAGGATCTTAAAAAATACATGTTGTAATCAGCAATGTTTTTTGACAATATTTGGTTTAATGATATTCTGCTGTATTTCAATTTTTTAAAGTATGGCTTAAATGCAGAAAGGATTTGATTTTCTACATATTGTCTTGCGTAAAGGAGGAGAGCAATTTCTTGAAGTTGGGTATTAACCTTTAAAATAATAAATAAAGCACACAAAATAAGCCAATAAAATTATTTGAATATGCTGTAGAGAAGCTCTTCATTGTGGAGGACATTCAAATAATGTGTTCCAGTGATATGTAATTTTAGAAATAGTTTTTTATTATCTTGAGCATGGGCATATGCTTCTCAATAATAACCGATGATCCCTAGAAATACGTATAAATTTACTTATTTGGTCTCATATTTAGCTAGGACAATAATTTTTTACACTAATTGAATTGACACTGAATTGGGGTTTCCTGTAAAAGATTCAATGGAGGGAGATTTGTTACAGGGAAATGTCTGGTACTATGCAAGGATTAACAAAAATTGCTGGCTTACTTTGGATTCCTGTTGAAAGTTCAGCGAATGGGAGTAATGTTGGGCATTACTTTCACTGCTGCTGCTCGTGATTTCCTGCTGGTGTCAATTTACAACGAACGCTGGCGATTACAACGCCACAGATGAAATTACCTATTTTTTCCCCATGCTTGTTGAAGAAATCATAGCCTTCTTACTGTAATTTTACGGTAAATCATGCGTCGGTTAATTTTGCGGCTTGCCAATATTTACCATTCGTTTGTGTATTTTGCGCAAGTTTTCATTTGCTGTCTTGCCATATTTCAGCATGAGTTGTTTATGGTGATCGAATATTGTGCAAGGCAGTCGAATATTCACTCAGATTTGAGAGTTTTCATTGTGTTATCCTAAGTTGTTGAAGTCTTATCTCATTGTCTTCTCAAATCTGATTTCAAAACTTTGTAATTCACAAATAAAGTGTTGTGCTTCAGCATATGTCAAAGAGAGAATGAAATATACTGTACTGACCAAAAATCTTTCCATTTTTAACTGAGCTGTATTTGACCCATGTTTATCCTATTTTTCCTCATCCCTATTATGTAAAGTAAAAATGAGATGAGATCTTTTACAAAAGCTAAGTTATAATGTACACTGTGGCCCCAAAATGTGTATGTCTCCACAATTCAACTTGGGGATGATTTTAACTCCAAAATGGCGCCCCAACATCTGGACAATGTTTCCATTAGGTATGGACATTCTGCCAGCATTTTCAGAAAGAGGAAAAAATATTGCTTCTCAAAAGTTTGTGATTTCTTGTACAATTTCAGTTATAGTCATGGACGTTAAATTGAAATAAATATGTAATAGTTGAATTGGTTGCATTCATTGTGAAAAAAGCTAATTTTGTACAGTACATTCTTTCTTTGGGGTTTTTGTCATCTTTGCACAGTATAGGAATACTGTATGTGTGTCCATTTTTTTCCTTTTGGACTACTTCTCACGTTGAATTGGCAGATTCTGTATGGTTTACTTTTGCACAATCATCTTCTGTGCTTTTATTTAGGTTTTAACATTTTTAGGTAAATTATGCAAGGATTTTGCCAAATGTGGAAGGTGATCAAATTGTTCCCGTTATTGTAGTTCATGGGAGAATTTTTTTATTCAACCTTGTGGTTTTCCCTCAAATGAATTTTAAATTTGAACACCGAGCATTGATGGAAACACCATTTGGTTCATCTACTGAGGTTGAGCATAATTTTCCCATGGACTATACTGAAAAACTGAAATTACTGTTCCAAATGTTTTAATCAATGGGAACAGTTGCTTTAAATTTTAAAGACAATGATTACAGTTTTCTCATGCATATATAAAACATGGAAAACTCAAACGCTCCAAAAATCAGAATGAGTGCTATATCTTTTTTTCAAACACAGTTCATTTCAATCAAACACATAATTTCAACAACTTATTTTTAGAAGAGAGGATTTCTATTGGTGTATAGATGCCTGTTTTTGTCAACCACTTGATGATGATGATGATGAGGATCCTTTGCCAGATGATGATGATGATGAACCCTTGCCTGAACTTGAACAACTGGAGCTGCTTGAACTGCGTTTTTTCTTGGGAGCCGCTGAGATGATTCCACTGAACACCATGATCACTATCATCATAACCTGGTGAGAAATATTTTCATTAATGCGCGTGACAAAGTAGCAGCTTATTTCTTTTAGGTGAAAAGAAATTTCAGAAATGGCGCTCAACCTTATTTAAACATGTTCAGCAACTCTTTTCTGTTGAATGATATGATGAGTTAATCATATTTTTCTCAAAAATGATTAATACAGCAGTATTATCAGCTATACATTTTTTATCTGCCAGTTGCACAAACAAGGAAAAGTCAATTACAATCCTATAAAAAGTAACTGAATTTTGCTTCATTTGAGTCACAATTTAGCTTTCTTTTGCTTTTGCTATAACCTTTTATTCGATTTTATAGGATTGTTTTGCAGGACCGTGTATAACAACATTTTTCTAAACCTGGCTTGTTTTTTGTGGAGGCCTGGCCCTGGTGTACAGTACTGTACATCAGTGATGGACCTCAAGTAGATAATAAACATTTACTGTATATCACTACATATACAGCATATAGCTCCTAACCCTGTTGTTTAAATGTTTTTTTGTGGAGGCCTGGCCCTGGTGTACAGTACTGTACATCAGTGATGGACCTCAAGTAGATAATAAACATTTACTGTATATCACTACATATACAGCATATAGCTCCTAACCCTGTTGTTTAAATGTGTGCACTTCCTAAAACAGCAAAAAACTTGCTGAGCCAAATGAGAAAAAGGGTTGCATGGCTGGGTAATTGGTGCATAGTCAGTTGATGTGCTTGTATAAAAGAGGTTTCTCAGAAGTCCTCCAAATTTCAATCAACATTTTTATTTCAGGCAGATTAAACCTTGTGGCTAACTCACAATTGTTCTCTTTTTAGAAAAATGCATGCAGTTTTGATTCAGATCAAGTTGAGATGGAACCAGAAATAATTTTATAAACCACATATCACTTAAAGCTGCCACTCTCTATCAATACTTCAGTAACAGGCCAGAATAAATCTTCGTACAAAATTTATTGTTTTATTACTGTTGAACCTTGATAAGTCAAACCCCCCTGAAGTCAAATACTGTACCTCAATAAGTCATTTTTTTCAAATCCCCCTCTGAATTTCCTGAGAAACAATGCTCAAAAACCTCCCTAACTCACATTATTTTCCTCTTGAATCTCCATAAGTCAAATTTTCTAAGGCCTTTTGATCATTATTTTCTTGAGAGGGGAAAGAGCAAAGCAATAAAAAATGGAATTTGATGGAAAGGTAGTAAATGACCAATTGGGCAAATTAATCATTGCCTCCAAGTTCAGCATCCCTTTCAACTCATTTAAGAAGGCCCAAAATATCACCAATTATCATTTTGTGCAATGCTTCTGTATGTTTCTCATAACAAATATTCCTGGTTCTCTAATGCAAATCTCTATGACTCAAAACCTCCCAA